CTTCATGTTGTCCAAATCGGGTAACAATTCACGTTTATACGTCAATTCCATCAAAATGACACCCGGCAATGCAATCCGTTCGTCCTAATTCACAAAACTCACAAAGTTACTAAAAATACCCCCAGATCACCCCGTTTCCCCTATTGATACCCAGGCTAGTACCCCGAGGGCGTACAGGCATATATGTACTATTATTCTACCATCTTCCCGCTATTTTATTGTCTACCGTTCTCCCCTGGTTCACCGTTAAATTCACCCTGCTCACAGAACCCGTTTATAGCCCTATTTTTGCCCATTTACAGCCTGCAGACCACCTACTTGCACACCCCCTGTTTACCCCCTACCCCCTACCCATCCCCTACCCACCCCCCACCCACCCTAACCATCCCAGCCCCATCCCGCACCCGAACATTTGTAAACATACCCTAAAATTCCCCAGAAACACGAATATATTTTGGCAGGGAACATTTGTAAATGTCCCAGCGGTGACTACCGGAAAGATTTACAAAGGTAGCACGTCCTCTGGTGGTCAATCTAGCTGCCAGACTCGCCCACCAGGCCGCGGCGCTGTCTTTGATCAATCCTGCGGATCCAAGACTCCATCGGAAGGCCGAAACGAAAGAGGAAGAGTGGTGGAAGCAAAATGTATAGATAAACTGAGCTGCCTAGGCTCTGGAAGGTGAAATAGGCAAAATATAATCAAAATTGGACTTAACAATTGCTCGAACATCTTGAAAAACTCGAATGTGTTGTTATGAAGACTTCAGAATGGAAAGAATGAGTAGAAAAGGGCGAAAAACTGATAGATAATACTGATCGAACGGGAGTGAGACAGTCCGTGGCCGCTCGGCTAATCCGTTCCTAGTAACCGGCACTTTGGCTCGCCCAGCCAGACTCCGACCCTCCGACTTCGCCTTTGTCAAACGTCGCTTTGCTTGTTTGCTCTGGGCTTGGCGTCGAGCACAACATTTTGCGTGATACTGGCGTGGCCTGGAAAGCTCTAGAATTGGATATCTTGATGCAGTTAACGGTTCCAATGAAAATACAGAAGAAAAACAATATATTTCATTAAGTGGCGAAGTGGCGAAGTGGCGTAGACTCCGACCTGGGAGTCTCGCGTACGAAAAAGATAGATATGTACATGGTTTACATTCTAACTCGGAATCCTTCTCATATGGATGTGTACACGAGCACGCCCATGTGCACTTCCACAGCGCGATCACCACCCTTGAGTCCTTCGATCCTGATAAGGGCAGCCATCTGTATCTCAAGGATCTAAGTCTCATCATTCAGTTTCCACCCTGGTCTACGATACTTCTATCCTCCGCATCCATTTGTCACTTGATCCTCCCGATCCAGGAGGGTGAGAAACATTTTAGTATCAGAGGATTTATTCAGGTGGACCCGCTATAGATATCGGCCTACTAGCACCCTTTCTGAGGCACAGCATGAGAAGTTGGATGGGAATTTCGCTGCACATTGAGAGGCAGGTTAGAAGCTACTCTCGATACCACATACATTAGCCGCATATCAACAGTATCTCGTCGATAAAGACAATGAGTGGTTGGGGAGAATCAGAATGAAGGCGCAGTTGTCCTAGGTTGTCATTAGCTGTCCGGAGTGTAACAATGAGACAGAGGAAATTATTCTGATATTTTAGCAATTTTTCCGGGGCTGATAGGACCACTTACTATAGAGTTATGACTTTAATTAATTTGCCACCAAGCGGGCCACACTATAGATTTTGTCTCTTTCTTTTTCTATTACTTTGTGCGGGCAATATCATTGACAGTGACACTTCTCATAGTCGTTTCTTTAAGTGCTCGATTATCTGCGCCTCACAGAGGTCTGCCTCGTTGAGAGGGAGTGTTCAGAGTATATTGACGAGACATCTGATATTTTAGCAAATTTTCCGAAACTGATAGAACCACTAACTGCACAGTTATGATTTGTAGTTATTCACCTTCAAGCGGTCCACAGAATGCCAGATTCTGCGCCTCGGGATCTGTCGCTCTGCACTCCATTTAGGTAGTTACTTTTCCAATTGGATAGTAGACCGAGATAAGTGTTGGAGTGCATCTTTTTAACTTGTGAGAAGTGTCTTTGTTTTTTCATTGACCGTGATGCTTCTCACAGTCGTTTCTTCAAAAGCTCAATCATTTGTGCCTTACACAATCATGGAAGATTTTTAATCTACTTGGAGGATGGTCCTTGCTAAAGTGAACCTAGTATGTGCAGCTATCCTTTAACACCAAAAACATTCATAACTGAACGTCAAGGCATCTGGACCCCTCTCACCAGTAATGACCTTCTCTGGCTGTTCGCTGAACCTCGCACTCTGGCTCCACCTTATACTTTGGTATCTCCATTAACCGCGACACTGACATCGTTGGTGTCTTTGCATTCATCTATGGCATCATTAGAGACTGTACCGAGCACTGAGGGAGAAGACGGGTCGAGAGTCAGTACAGGCAGTGCAGAGGAGGTGAATATTTCAGTGAAAGATACAAGACAGGAGGCACCAGAAGAGAAGGAGACGTACGAAAAGAGGCTTACATTTGGCGAGAAGCTGAAGATGAAGTTGAAGAGATTCTTTCCAAAAATATTCCATCGCAAGGTCAGATTTCCGCCCGCTCAGAAGTGCTCCCATATCATCGACTCCGGTGACGCCACTCCTATTCGTGCCCATGGCCAACTGCTCTCGCTTGTTGAATACGAGAATATTTGTGAGTTTATGAACGAAGGACTACGAGATGAGGTAATTAAACCATCAGACTCACCATGGTCTGCACCGTTACTGATTGTTCGCAAAACAGACAGCCACCCTCGAATCTGTGTCGACTACTGTCAGTCAAGCATGCTGGGTGGCCCAGGGTAATGGGGTAGGGTGTACGGGGGTGATCCTGGGGGTAGGGGATGGGGTAGGGGTGCTGGTGAATGGGTAGGGTGGGTAGGTAGGGCGTATATAGCAAAACAGGATGGGTTATATACAGATAAAATGAGCAATATGGGCAGGGATGATTGTAGGGTGAATAGGGATATAACAGTGACCAATAGAAATACGGAAAATTAGTAGAATAATAGTAGGGATGCTAGGGTAGGGGCACTGGATACCTGGGGTTATATCGGTAGGGGAAACAGAGTGATCTGGGGATATTTTGGTAACTTTGTTAGTTTTGTGAATTAGGATGAATAGATCACATTACTGGGTGTCATTTTGATAGAATTGACATATAAAATGTGAATTGTGGTCCGATTGTGGCAACATAAAGAAGGTCAATTTTAGGGGTTCTGACCATTTGATAAACATTGATAAATATATAAGATGGTGAAAATCGATTTTTGAAGGAATCGGTCCAGTGATTCCAAAGTTATAGTGTAAACAGTCAGCAGGATATTACCCTATTAGGGTGAAAGGGGGCGGGCAGGTCAGAACCAGAGATATAGTGGTTCAATTACCTTAGTTTTTGCTGTCATAGGTAGTCCTATATAATCAAATGTAAATAATAGCATAATGAGCACTTTAAGAGGTATAAGCTAGCTAACCACTTTGGAATTTTTTTTGAAACATTTACCTTTTGATGCATAAAGCTTACTCTCAACAGGGATTGGTCCACAAACCTCTTAATTATATTCAGAAATTCAAATACACGGCAGAATTGGCCATTTACAGCCAAAAACTGATGTTTGGCATCTTTACTGTATCACACAGACCAGGTATAATATAGTGGATCATCCAGAAACATTCAATATGATGTATTCTAGCCCTGTACCACACCACACCATGATAACACTGCATTTGAGAGAGATCCGGTCCATATATGCCCTTAATATTACATGTGCATCTGCTCCCCCATCAAAAACATGGTTTTTGCTTTTTCTACTATCCACCAGTGGTGGTTCTAGTGCTTTTATAATGTTAATATACATTTAAACTAAATTATCACTACAAGAACGATTCCAAAAACACGTACATGAGTGTTTCTGTGATTATACTGTGGCCCAATACACTGTTTTACCCCCTCAGTGTCTCACAATTAGTGCAGGACAATTTCGACTAATGTTGCATGCTAGATCAACTTCCCAAACGTCAAACTATATTGTACAATTATCACTTCAACACCACAAGACATTCTAACCATGGAAATACCCCCAGGGTAGATGTTCTCCTCCTCCTCCCCTAGACACAGCACCGCTATTAAGGCCATGATCATTGTTTTCATGCCCAGTGTGCTCCCCATCACTTAGTATTAATATAAAACTACCTATGACAGCAAAAACCAAGGTAATTGAACCACTATATCTCTGGTTCTGGCCTGCCTGCCCCCTTTTAACCTAATAGGGTAATATCCTGCTGACTGTTTACACTATAACTTTTTCAAAAATCGATTTTCACCATTTTATATATTTATCAATGTTTATCAAATAGTCGGAACCCCAAAATTGACCTTCTTTATGTTGCCACAATTGGACCACAATTCACATTTTATATGTCAATTCTATCAAAATGACACCCAGCAATGTGATCTATTCATCCTAATTCACAAAACTAACAAAGTTACCAAAATATCCCCAAATCACCCTGTTTTTCCTCTCGATGTACCTTTAGGTATTTAGTACCCTCAACCTAGCACCCTTACTATCATTTTACTATTTTTCTGTATTTTTATCGGTCACTATTCTATCCCTATTCACCCTACGATTATCCCTGCTTATATTTTCTATTTTATCCATATGTAACCCATCCTGTTTTGCTATATACGCCCTACCTACCCACCCTACCCATTTCTCAGCACCCCTACCTCATCCCTACCCCCAGGACCACCCCCGTACACCTTACGCCATCACCCTGGGCCACCCGGCCACCCAGAATCACCCCCGGCTATCCCAGTAGCCAGCCCAATACTGTCATTTATAAATCTTGGATGAGAGGAACCTTTGTAAAGGACCCCTTTCTTACTATCAGGTACATTTATAAAGGTGGTACATCCTCTGGTGTGTTAGTTGAACTGTGTCACTCATCAAAACACCTACCCTCTCAGCCGTCCTTGTAAGAAACATTATAATGGAGTGCGGCAAGGACGCTGAGCTCCATTGTAATGTTTGACGAGTATTGCCGCACAGCCACACCAGGCCCTGGCACTCTGTCCGGTCACTTTCTGCACCGGCCAAATTGGGAAAATCACCAGTGCATTTTCGGGTTTTTGGTATAAAAAATACCAGGGGCAGGGTAGGGACCAGGATGGGGTGCTGAGGTGCTGGATAGGGGGTAGGAAAATGGGTAGGGGTGGGGGTAGATGGGTAGCAGGCTGGTAGGGTGCTGTATACATGAATTGGGTGGGTTTTGGCTGGGATTTGGGTACTGGGGAAGATACTGGGTGTACTGGGGTAGTATTAGGTGCGATAAAAATCGGGGAAAATAGGGAAATAATAGTAGGGATGCTAGGGTAGGCCTAGCAGGTGCTGGTTTCTGGTTTGTTAGGGGGTTAGGGGGTGTTTTGGGGGTGTTTTGGTAACTTTGCGAGTTTTGTGATTTAGAACGAATGAATCGCATTGCTGGGTGTCGTTTCAATGGAATCAGTGTATAAAACGTAAATCGGCGAGGTGATTTCGCCAACATGAAGGAGCCCGATTTTGGGGGTTCTGACTATTTGACAAACATTTATAAATATATAGGACGCTCAAAATCAATTTTTGAAGGAATCGGTCCATTCGTCCCAAAGTTATAGCATAAACGGTTAGAAAGATATTGCCACAGCGAGGTCACAGGGGGTCGGGAGGCCAGAACTTCTGATACAACGGTTCGATTTACTTGGTTTTTGCTGTCACGGGTGGGCGAACATCAATACTTAACTATGGGCACCACTCGGTGCCCAAGAACAGCGACCATCTCATTGGTAGCGGTGCGGCGTCTAGGGGGGGAGGAGGAGAACATCTACCCTGGGGGTATTACCATGGTTAGAATGTCTTGTGGTGTTGAAGCAAAGATTGGACAATATAGTTT